CATAGACAGTCACAAGAACACAGAGACATGGATTTTAACTTGTTATTTGACAGTAAATACGGTCAAATTAGAGTTAGGGAGATTTAATTCAGACATGAAAAAATCACAAACAATCCTAAAAAAATGCTGCATGTGCCAACCTGCCATGGATGCTCTGGAAAAAGATAAATTTAACTTGTGACACACCTCAGAATCTGTAGATGCCAGACATGTAGGGGGTTTACAGATACACGGACATCACAGACACACACGTGGGCCGTCACCTAAACACAACAAAACCACACAAGAAAGACACATAAAGTGCACACAGTTACATCACAGCACCACATGCAATGAAGGGAAGAGGGGCACCAGCAGTACACAACCCTATCTGCCTAACAGGAGAAATAACTTCTAGTTTAGTTTAGGTCATTTACCTCAAACAATGCAGTATCTGGCTCCAGAGTCAGAGCCACAGGGCAATCAAGGCAACTGCAGTATAATATAAACCAAAAATAAACATTATAAATATACACATATGGACCTATACAAGACAACTTTTACCTCAGTGGGGTTATGAACTTCCAGTGCCTTCTCTGTGGTGAGCTCCAGCACAACAGCTACCTGTAAAATGTGTTACAAACGCTCACATTACCTAATGGCATGTGTCACCCAGAATTCAAATAAGCCACAAATCATACCTTCGAAACAGGTCGTCCAGCCCGCAAGGCCTGGGGCAGCAGGTTGTTTAAAGTAGTAGTAAAAGTAAAAAGGTAAAACTGATCAGTAAAACATGCCTCCCAGGAGCCGAGCCTGTTCCTCAGCCACATGGCTCCAAATGCACCAAGACCGAAAGCTGAGTGTTACCTACCTATATCAACTCTTAATGAGACAATAGTCACCTGGTGTGTGTGTGTGTGTGTGTGTGTGTGTGTGTGTNTGTGTGTGTGTGTGTGTGTGTGTGTGTGTGTGTGTGTGTGTGTGTGTGTGTGTGTGTGTGTGTGTGTGTGTGTGTGTGTGTGTGTGTGTGTGTGTGTGTGTCTGTGAAAGAGGCAAAAGAAAGACAATTGTTGGCATCACTCAGCCGAAGCCCACCTATCACATAAGTTTAATATTGATGTTTTTCTTGGACAGTTGAACATTGTGCAACAGAGCTGCTCCTTAAATGTACAGATCTCACCACACACACAAAAGAAAATAATAAAGATAGTGTGTAAATAAAAGTTTGGCCGTGCAGTGAATCATACAAGACTTTTTTTGTTGTAAATATATATTACACTGAGAATCAGGGAGGAGGTATTCAGATCTTTTACCTCAGTAAAGTAAGATCATTAATATATAAAACTGAATGAGGACTGATTTATACTACATTATACTGAGAGCCAGCTGACACGTGTTTGTTTATGTATTATTGTGTGTGTGTGTGACATGTGCTGACATGTGTTTGTTTATGTATTATTGTGTGTGTGTGTCTGTGTGTGTGTGTGTGTGACATGTGCTGACATGTGTTTGTTTATGTATTATTATGTGTGTGTGTGTGTGTGTGTGTGTGTGTGTGTGTGTGTGTGTGTGTGTGTGTGTGTGCGTGTGTGTGTGCGTGTGTGTGTGCATGGGCTGAGCCCCACCCTCCTGTTATATATGTTCAGGAACATGTTGTTCTTTGGCAGCAGGCCTGAAAACACGGCCAACACATCATCAGACAGCAGCACATGTGTCTTACATCTCTCAGGTCAGACTGAACTGAACTCAAACCTAAACCTTCTGTGGCTACTGAGAGAACACGTGTCATGTGTTTGTTTTTTTGTTTGTCAAACCAAATAAAACATGATTACCTCTGTTTTCACCTGTGTATCAGAATTACACAAAAACTACAGAACTGATTTACACACATATACATATACTGTATATATATATATATATATATATATATATACATTTAATATATATTTGTATATGTATATTTGTATATACTGTATATATATATATTTATATATACACACACACACATATATATATATATATATATATATATATATATACATATATACGTAATCATTATTATTATGATTGTTATTATTAAAATGATTATTATTGTATGAGACCACCCTCATGAGCAGTCATAAATAATAAAGTATTGACTCTTCTGATCCTTGACTGTCTTGTCTGGGGATTCGAGGGTTCTTGCGCTCTGATTGGCTGCTCACTGCTCATGTCACAGCTGTTTCCATCTTCCCTCACTCCCCCCATCTTTTAGTTGCATTTCATTGACTATAGCTGCTGCCTCCCATCCTCCCTCCCCCCTCCCTGCTCCTCCGCTCTCAGAACACTGTGTACCCAGCTGAACATAAGGAGCGCAGAACACTGACATATTGTTGTCTGCTGTGTATGTGTGTGAGGCATTGTATGGGCATCTCTACGCTGTAGGAAGTATCACTAGGGGCTTCCCTGGCCCCCACTCATCATTAATCTACACATTTGAATTAATCCACCAGGCTAATCAGACCGAACAGGGTTTTGTGTCAGACCAGGACTGTGACCGAGCAGCACTGATCTCCTGTAGAGTTGTTTACAGTCCCATACTTACTTATCATGGCGGGGGGTATCCCACTTTCTCTCAGTCAATAGGATCAGTGCTGCTGTTATTCTTTCCATTGTAGCCTTATTAGCTGCTGCCACCACAGTCCACACGGCAGACTGTTTCTTACATATAGTACAAACTGGCGAACTCCTAACACACACAAGAATAGCAGAAGAAAGACACATTTTAAAGGGAGTTACACTTTCATAACTTACAAGAGACAGATTTTTAAAAAATAAATAAATAAATAAAATAAATAAAAAAGATCTGGTCAGGTTTTAAGCGGACATCCTACACCCCCCATAATGCAACCTGATAGCATCGCTTTGATAGACCCTCTCCCCCTGGTAATAACCCTTTCAAAGTCCACACCAATGTGGATGTTGCAGTGTTCTCCACTCAGGTTCCTGTTCCCTGGTTCAGGACCTCTGAGTCACGGCCTATATCTGATTCAACAGCTCCGGTGTTGTCAAAGTTCAGCATAACCAATCAGGCTTTAGACTGAGGTAGGACCGCCTATACAATTAACATACAGACACAGAAATACAGAAGTAAATGTAGAAAAATGCAGAAGTAAATGTTTCATTCCCAAAATGTATTTATTTTGCATTTATTTATTTATTATTTACACTTATTTCCTTCATTCTTACCTCATTGTTACTATGTAATTAAATAATATAGGAAAATAATAATTTTACCTTCCTCATTAAACATTAAGAATTAGCTGTGTTTGATCCACTTACATCTATTATTACATGACTTTATTATAGTTTACCTAATTTGATCACAATAGAAACCATTCATAGCTGTGCACATGAGAAGGGTCGAGTATTTACAGAGATACTTTGAGTATCATTTATTGTTCCTTTAAAATGTCCAGTTGTTCCTCTATAATGTTTTTTCTTCTATTTTATTGTCACCTAGTTCATGCAATGAGATTACGATGTAAATCACAGGCTGTATTATTTATTGGTACCAAATGATCATTTATGGGTTATTTACTGTGTAGCTTTGATAACAATATGGTCACACTGTCCTTTGGATATAAATGACAATCTGTTAACGGCGCTCACTTCACATTATATGCAAACTGTGGGGTTACTGATGTTGACATATTCACAGGTCAATAACTATGTTCATTAAAAACACAAAACACTGCAGATTAATCCATTTATATTTTTCCTAGAGTGCTCGGTGCTACCATGTGAATTATGCATCGTCTTCCCTGTGATCTGTAAATGAATAAGCATATGTGTTGAGCCTAATCCTGAAAGGATCTTCATCATAAAAATATCAACAGCCAGTAACAGTGTAGGTTGTTGTTTGGGTGGTGATCAAAGGCCGGTCTGTCTGGTGATTCTGGACTGATGAAACAAACCCTGTGGAATGATCTGGATCCAGGGGATTAGTGACAACTGTGGGAAACAACTTCCCATATATGCAGTCGGCACTGAGGCCAGAGAAATCAAGCAGTTACAGTCCATCACTACCGCTGGAAAATCTGGTCATCGCCTATTAAACCGAATGTCCGACACAAGAGAATCATAAAACTACTCAGAACAGCTTGTACACCCATCAGTTTCCTCTCTGTGCACCCAGTAAAGAGACACCAGAAACACATTGGTTTGCTGCACCCGGATGGAAAAATCAATATCAGTGTAGTCACTGTGTCCTGTACAGAAACAGGCCTGAGACACGTTCAGCTCAGCTTTGCATAAAATCTGAAAACAGGAGGAAATTCCCAGTATGGCTGAGCTCAAATCTGAAACAGCCCTGTAGAATATCTATTAGATGGGTAAAAATTGTTTTTCTTTTTTTTTTAACCAGACTGTTTACACACTTTAGTAATGTAGCCAAGCTTAGAAGTTTGGTAAATGTGTGCCGATATTGAACGCATAAAAAAAAATCTGTTTACCCTGAACCAAACCCTCGGCTCACATGTGGCTCTCAACCTTTTTTCATTGCATTTCCCATCTCTCTCTCTCTCTCTGGTTACCTGTCCTCTCAGGACACCTTACCTTACCTTTCCACTGTGTTTTCAGGCATAAAACAAAAACTAAATAAATAACAGATGAAGGGTTCTATTGTTTTCCACCACTTCAAGTACTTTTACTTAAGTACTGTAACTTCACCCTCGTGCATCCTTTAAAGAACATAAATGTTCACCTCAATTAAAAAACTGCTATAAAAATATTATATATTAATATTTTTGGGGATTAACACCGTCTGGGATATGTCAATGATTGGCAACATTTATTTTGGTGAATTATTTTTTTGTACAGAATCAACATCATAACGACCAAATGTCCGTTCATCTTCCAGTATTTTGACGCTATAAATGCTTTTTTTCCTACATAATGTCATGCAATGCAATACTCCATAATCCAGACAGTCATAGTTTTGATCATTTATTTCAAGAAAAGTTAACAAACATATTTACAGCAAAAAAAAGAACAAAAGAAAAAAATGATTGTGTGATGCTTCCTCAAACATCTAATGGCTCCTGTCAGCTTCATTAACAAAAACAGTTCTTATTAAACACAACATCTGTAATAAGCTTCTCTGTACACACTGGAAATATGCACTAAGAAAAAAGTTCAAGATATTACACACAGCTGTTTGAGAAGGGCGTGGCTCTGTACGGTGTTTACAGTGAGGCAGTGAAACATTTTGCATAGTGTAAAGTGTTTTCAAGTGGAGTCATCACTAGACTGAAGAGAGCTAAACCAACGGCTCATACAGAAACACAGTGACAGCAGGGGAGTGGACAACAAGGGTTAGTGACGATGACTGTAAAGATCCTCAGCTATCTTACGCACTATCAACACAGCAACGCCACTAACAGCCTTTTAACCATGTTTATCTTTAACTAGAGAAACGGGTAGATTGAACACTGCTGAGATTCAACATCCCAAAAGGGAAAATAACAGACTTTCTAGTAGCGACACTCGTCCTTTAGCACAAAGAGAAAAATCAAACACCTTCATTCAACAACTACAGCTCCTGTGAGTGTCAGGGCGCAATGACATTCAACACAAATACGCTAATTCTCTGTCTTAGTCGTAAATGACACTTTCAGGATCAGTGACATTTACTGAATCAAACTGAAACATTCAATCGGAAGCAGCTCCTCCTGAATTCACACACTAATCCAGTTGTATATATATCGTTGTTATGTTTCAGTTGTTTTTTTAATAATATATTACTGTATTATAGTGTTTTATGTTTAATGTATACGCGATGCTGCCACTAAACAGCAGTTCATTTTATTTGTCACATGCCAAGGTACAATGTACAGTGAAATGAGGGTTGGACTTGGCAGGAGGGCAGACTGTGCAAAACTGCATAAAACATGCTAAGTTGTTTGAAAAACACTGAGGCTTTCAGGCGTACACTTGCAGACACTGATGTGACCTGATGGGAGCTGTAGTTGTGGAAATGAAACAATATGAATGTAATCTGGTGGTGGGTGAGGACTAGCTCTGTAATATAAACGTTAACAGGTGCAGCAGATGTGGTCAATATAAAGGAAACAGCTCTATGTCACCTGTAGTTAAGCAGAACAGCACACAGAGAAATCAGTCGGAGGTCAGTTCAGATCCAGTCTGAGGTAAAAATCTATCCCACTCAAGCAAAGTATCAGAAAATAAGACAAGTTCACTAATGAGACTGAGAGAGGTTGTTTCTAGACCCAAATCTACATCTACTGCCGAGTCACTGAACGCAACCTGAACGCTACACAGTGCTGTGAAACCACAGGCAGGTGCTGGTCATTCCTCTGGTCTGTGCAGGAGAGTGAAAGCTAAAATCTCTCTAGGTCTGGAACATACAAACCATCTCAAGTACCATCTCACTGTCGTGTGACTTGTGGCTCCATATTTTTGTTTAACTAACCCCACTCTCACAACACCGACAGCAGCTACAACCAAACCGCTGCCTGAGCGTGCACTACAGCTACATGCCACTGCAAAGAGTCTGGAGCACTTCAGTAAAGAGGGGAGGGGGGGGGCGTGAGGATGGGAATCCCATGGCTGCTTCTGGGGATTATTTCCAGATGGCAAATCTTCAAATTTCCTGTGAGAGCCCTTGAATCAGATTCAGCCACAGATGGCTCAATACTGCTCAGGTGTCAGACTGTTTACACCCAGTATTCACATCACAACAATCAGAGACTTTCATGCACTCACTCAACAGGAAGAGCAATGCTCAGTATTTCCACGTGTGTCCATCAACTTGAGTCCGACACTGACACACTCAACCCCAGTGTAAAAACCATTCAGTACAAAGTTAGACAACCACATGACGTAAGTTAGCAAATATGTTAATACTGATCTTTGCAGTGATGATACAAAGATTTATGACTATTTGTCCAACAGACGCTCTTTGGATTCAACAGAAATCGATGCCCAATAAAACCAGTCTGAATTTCCTGTTAAACATTGTTTGGTAACAGTTGCGCAGCACTGAATGGAGATGCTACAGGCCAGCTACTTCTGAAGGTGTGAATTATACAGTTCACCTTCAAAACAACATGATAACCATCAACATTCACATTCGTTCTGCCTGTGTGGCAAAGATCTGTGAAACATCCCTGTAAACCTTCTTAACACGAGCAAACGTGACACTGACGGAGAAACATTTGGAGACTCAGCGTCACGATTGCACTGGAGCTTCTGGGCAGCGGAGGGAAACCAAGTGATCACAGTCTAATGTGATATTACTGCAGCCTGGGATATTGTTTAAGAGTGTGACATCACTGAAAGCAAAAGAGTCTATTGGTCAATTGTGCATTTTTACAGACAGAGACCTGCAAGAGACTCATAAAGTCTGTCTTGGTGTGTGAGCTTCTCACACTGGAACCCAAAAAAATCGTTTTATTTAAAAATCCAATCGCACTTGGTGTGAATCATCTTGAAGGCACAAGGATGTTCGGGGCAGTGTGATGTTCACACACATGTTAAACACTGGATGGCCCGTGCTTTGACTTCAGAACACTAATCCAGCCCAGTGACCTGAGCCACAGTCCAGTCCAGTACCAATGACAGGGGAGAGCAGGCTGCTGGGAACAAGAGTCAACAAATATAAAACAAGAGATATAAACCAGGTTGTCACATCCAGTCATCATCCACCAGTTAAACATCCTCTGCTCCACCGTGACCTCTGTTACACAGCCTTTATTCACCTTTGTGGCTCTGTATAAAAGGTATGAACATGGATTCGGGGGGGGTGGGGGGTGGGGCATTAAACCGGAAGGCGGAGGTAGTCACAGAGCTGGATCGAGGTCTGTGTAAGAGAGCGAGAACCAGCACGGCAGGACAGTTGTGTTACACATCACGCCTCTGATTCCTGAATGCTGGCGTGCTGGCTGTGATCACACACTTGTTGGTGGTGGTGGTGTTGGTGGTGGTGGTGGTGGTGGGGCATTACACTGGCTTTGTTTGGTTCAGTGTTTAAGCAAAGGCGGCGTAACGAGGGGTCGATTGTAAGTGGATGGTGCTGGAGGTAAACTGCTGTGATCTGATTTGCATACAGAGTTTTGGAATCATCAGCCAGTCCGTCACTTCCCGCTCAAATTATGATTGTGGATTCTTCACAGTTCAGTTTTGTCAGGTGTCTGAGTCCTTTTTTCCACTGAAGTCCACGTCCATGTCGTAAACAAAGCTGCGGAGACACAAAGTACAAACAGGTCAGCAAACAAGAAAACCACTTTATAACAATTATCATCACATGTAATTAAATACGAACACGCTTTGGATATAATCAGCTGATTTCTGCACCTTCACAATCAGAAAAAACTAATCTGACAACAACAAAGCCACAAGCTGGTTGACAATAGTGAAGTCACTGGCTGTGACACAGGGTTTCTACATCTACCTCACAACACGGCCTGACACCTGAGTGCATTTCCTGCCTGTGATGTGTCCAGGTTTGGTTCAGTGCTGTGCTCCACTAATAGCCTAGCGGCTCACACGCCACAGCTCCGGCCTGCAGCAGCTTGTTCCTCTTTCCATGGGTTGCATAACCTCACAACACATGGTACAAACACAAGTGGGTCAGCTTAGCAGGAAACACGCATGTTAGAGATGATGTGCTGAATGGAGACGCGGAAAGTGCTTATGTCACTGTTGAGGAATATGTACTGTACAGTTTACTATTCACAAAGTGGTGCTACTGGAAAAATTGTGCCCTCAAGCAAATAAAAACAAAAGCAGATATTGGCTCTGAAAACATGAAACTCATCTTCACAGTGAGTTCAGTCCACAGGATCCTCTCAGATAACTCTAACATCACTGCAGGGCTGTCAGCTCACAACGGATCCTGTTAAACCCTAACCCTCCATCCACCTGTGTTCTGGTCCAAGGTTTGACAGAAGCTACTTTAACGTCATTTGTTCATCTCTGAGCAAAGCAGGCCTCTGTCGTTTACCCCCAACGCTCTGACCAAGACTCTTAAAACCCCCAGTGTTGTTGACAGAACTGGCTGCTCTGAGCTCAGTGCTTTGCCTTTGTCGTCTCATGTTTTTACAGAAGCAGCTCTGAGCATCCTCTATACATGGTGTGTGAATTTTCTGAGCTCTGTGACCTGATGCACACGTTTTACGAGCATGCCTCTCATACCTGAGTACACACCCTGCCATAGATGTGTTACACAACTCTACACTCTGAATGTGTTGTATTTGGTTGCAAACAGAGAAAGTGTTGACAGTAGCGGCCACGATTGTCTCGCAGTTGGAAAAGAAGCTTAAGGCTGTTTTCTGTCAGATGATCAGACGACCGCTTTGTTTGGTGTCGTCCTCAGCAGAGAGAGTGAGGGTAATGGTGGACATGGAATCAAGTCCCCAAGACGCTGCTCTATTGGTGCTGTTCTGTAGAGGACCCTGACCTCTGACCTCTGAACTATTTCCTCTACACAGCAGCAAAGAATCACATTACCAGCCAGACCTAAAATGACATCCCACTGATCCCACTGTAACGACCACACAGGTCCATTTATGACATGTGTGAAGTGTAAACATGTTCACCTGTTCAGAGACCAGACTTCTGTCTGTGTCTCTAATGACAGACAATCATGTATGAATGCATGTAGAGTGTAGGAATGTGCATGTGCCTCTTGTTTTAAAGGTCCCATATTGTATAAAGTGAGATTTCCATGTCTTTTTTTTTATTATAAAGCAGGTTTTAGTTCTATATTAATACTGTGAAAGTATCAAAGCGCTCAGCCCAGAGAAACACACACAGCCTGTATTCAGAAACTGAGCCTTAAAACGAGCCGCCAGGACTTTTGTAACTTTGTGATGTCACAAAAAAGCAGTCACTGCTCTCAGCCATGCTCCAGGCCCCGCCCACCTGGACTGAGCCTCTCTTCTGATTGGCTCGCTGACCTGTTGTTACTAGAGCTCCAGAAAGAAGCCTGAGAGAGCAGATGTAAAACTACACAGAGCTGGACCTGTAACAGAAACAGTCAGCGTTTGTGCTCTGAATGCTGCTGCATGCTGAACCCTGATTAAACTGACATGCTACAACATATTAACATCTGACCCTGCCCCCCTCTGGTCAGACCCTTGCTGAAGTCGGCGTATCATTTTTCTGCTACATAAATAAGCAAAATGAAGGAAACCAGGTGAAGGTCAAAGCCCAGCAAATCCTGGACTAACACAGGCCTGCTGCCTTCTCAGCCGTCCTGCCAGCCTTTTGTTGTTGCATAACCCAAAGCAGACTGACTCGTTAAAAACCAGCAGAGACCGGTATCTGTGGGGGAAGTGATGGGGGCTGGTTTATTGTGAGCCTGGGACGCTGTGGCAGCTCTCTATGATGATTACCAGTTAGAGAGCGGAGTGTTGGCTTTTTACAACCTCGGGTGGTTTTGTGGCTGCGCAGCATGCAAAGCAACACATTCCTTATAGCTGGCATTCAAAAGAACTATTCATTATGTAAGTTTAGGTGTGTGAGTACCCCCTGATGCAAAACTGACAAAGCATTTCCAAAGAATATAGGACAAAGAGCAGTATGATGGTCAGCTCTGATGACCAGTGAGCAAAGTCAACAACAGTCAGTCAAATGGGTCCTTGTGCTTTCTAATAAGAGAGCTGCCATTAAGAGATGTTTCATGCTGTCATGATAAGGTATCCAGAATGACTGCTGTGTGTCTGTTGTAGAACTGAGTGTTACTGAGTGTAAATAAATGTCAACAGAACTCTATTGACAAATTGCAGGTTTTCTCCTGATGCTCCCGATGACCAGTTCAATGATTACAGACGGGCCTGTTGTCAGTCGATATCACAAAACATAATATCGTGAAACTATCGTGTATCAACATTTTCTCACAAAAAACACACAAAAACTCAACAGACGAGATGGGATTATGTTGGAGCCAAAAAATATCTAATTTGTCTGATCTCTGAAAATTTTATCCCCATAAAGTCTTTAGACAAAATCAATAGCTGAAAATTCGATCAGGACTAATATTTTCCAAGGCCAAGCCTCACATTGGTTAAAGGTTTTGTTTTTTGTGCATCCCTCAGATGATCCTGCTATCTTGAAGTTCACACAGTCGATAACGGCAGCGAACAACAAATCCAAATCTCTGCTCTCTGCAACAGATGCTGACCACACCTCTTTCCATCCATTATTTATTGGTCAAAATGAACCCTGTCAGCTTTGTTAGAGCCTCTCAAACAAAACGAACCGTCACCACAACAGTGAAACCAAAGAGAAACCACCGAGAGGCCAGACCACATACAGCACCTGCGGTGATTGTGGGGCTGCGATAGCTGATGCGCAGACTGCGATGAGATTAACACAGTGTAAAGAGCTTACAACCCATTAGCTCCAACACAGTCACCATGAATGGGGACAGCGGAGTGGAAGAAATGTGGATCCATGTTATGACAGAGCACTGTGGGATCGCAGGATGTCCAGGACTGTACGGGGTGCTGGAAGGTGAAGCATTAACTGTAGATTTTTATGGACAAACGGCATAAAAAATAAAAAGCAAGGGGTCAGATTACAGAACTCTTTCCTCTCACTCTCCAGTTTTCAACCTTTGAATAAACACAAGAACATAAAGAGGTGTTTCCTCTGAATCATTTGTGTAGGAACTTGTTTTTGCAGTTCTCACTTTGAGCCCTGAGGGCCCTAAGGAAATATTTACAACCATTACAGCCACTGAATACTCACTTTTACAACTATGTTGCATAAGAACGTCCATGCGTTCATCACACCCACTCCCAAAATCTCATAAAGATATCCTCCCTCTGGCATTTCTCAGCCCCTCCATAATACCCCCCGCTGACTGAGCCCATGCAGAACATACCGTACCCTGCCTTGAAACTGCTGTCCAAACAACCCCATTTCCTTTAGAGGAGCAAGACCAGCGTTCCCTCAAAGCCCACTGTCTTTGTTTAAAATCTACACTGCTTTGGAAGGCCTGCACAGAGAAAAACCTGCTTGGAGGCATCAGTATACTCATTAGGAGGCATTCATGGGTGCAGTATAAGGACAACACCCTGAAAATGCCTCAACTTGTAAAAAGCCTGATCAGGCTGTCAATGAAATCAAAAAGGATGAAGTGAAGACTGTAGATGTAGGAGGGTCGGGGCTTACAGCGCTCTGGCCTGGTTTAGACTAAGGCGACACACGGCTGGCAGCCAGCAAGAGGACAAAATGTTCCCGACGCAAGCCTCCATAAGCCCTGAACCAGGAGTGGCGCTCTCATTGTCCAGCAGAGGAGGCGAGGGAGGGAGAGGGGATGGACAGGGAGGATGGGTGTGACCGATGGGCGGGGCGACAACACAGAGACACACATGGTTATGATATGACGTTGACAAGTCCTGATCCATGTCATTAGATATTCAGTATTTGCCCAAACACGGGCTCATATGTTTTTCAGCACTGTGTGCAACGTGAACGCATCACATTTTTCGCAACTTTATTAAAAAGGACAAACTGAAATATCACATTGACAGAAGTATTCAGACACTTTACTATGGCACTTATAATTTAGCTCAGGTGCCTCCCATTCCTTGTGATCATCTTTGAGATGTTGATTGGAGTCCACCTGTGGTGAATTCGGCTGATCTGATATGATGTGGAAAGACAAACACCTGTCTATAAACGGTCTCACAGCTGAGAACGCAGATCAGAGCACAAACCAGGAGGAGCAGCTGTTGAACTAACACACAGCTACATTCAAGCCCGGCTACACCAACAATACAGTGCCAAGGAAAGCTCTATTTGACGGCAAGATAAAGTGGCGATCAATAATAAACACAATCGAACTGAACCATGTCCCTCCCCGCACTGACTGATCCAGATCCCACACACTGCCCAGATACTTCCAACTGGTTTTCTGAGTGTTGTGTCCAGTATCTGTGACATCGTCAGCTGCCCACTCACTTCAGCAGCTCCTGACATAAATACACACATGCAGCAGAAACAACTACACCCCCCCAACAACCCCCACCCCCAACCCCACCCCCACCCTCTGTTTACAGTCTCTAATCCCCCTCTCCAACAGATGACAGGTTTTCCCATTGAACCAGTGCAATGCTGTGGTCCTGTTGCATAACATGCTATCCCATCATGCCACAAGAGAACGAGGCCAAACTGCAGCAGAGTCCATCGGCGACCCCGCTGACAGTCGAGAGCTGAGAGGTGTTGCGTCACAGAGCGAGGCGGCGGCGTCGCTGGGCAGGGGCTTACAATGAGGGGTTAACAGAGGATGGTTGCAGGATTGGACAGCTAATTGTCAAACAAACGTTGGGATTAGTCCTGGTCAATGGAGGGTTCAAGTTCAAACAAACAGACGGATGGTTTGGGTCACTGAGCATCCACTCGGTGGCTGATTGACGTGCTACAATGACCAAGGAGTTTCTGCTCTAAATAGCAAACGAACACGATTAACATCTTCAAGAGACACTTTTATTTCACTGTCACTGCTGAGAAAGTTAGTTCCTCCTGAGTGTGCAGGTTGGTTTAGGGGGGAGGGTGTGGGACATTTCAAATCTAATAAAATCAGTGAGGTTGAGTCATGATTCTTAAAGCAAAAGTTAAGATAATTTTTTTCATATAAAGTGTCAGCTGGTTTTCTGTTTGGGCATTTCCAAAAGTTCGGAAATACTGAAAGTATCGTCTGTCATTATTCCCTTTCGCACCGGTCAAAAATAAAAAATCACTAAGACCCGCTAACATCAGGCTTTTGTCATCAATGTAAAAGGCCACAATCGGCATTCACTCCCAGGTCAAAGGAGTCCGCAGTAGATGCGGGTATTTATTGAAACACAACACCCGGATGAACGCGCTAATTTTGCCCTTTTCCCGTGCTGTGATGTTTTCCTGAGAACAAACACGGAAAACACACCTGCCGCCTGCACAGTGCTGTTAAACCAGAAACACCGCAGCTACACTGGACGCACGGATGGAGAACTACTTCCTGAACTCTTCGTTACTATGGTGATTTAACAGTGGCCTGCTGTATGTTTAAATAAACACCAGTAATACAATCATTATGTGATTACTAAAGATAATGTAAACATCGTACTCTGATTATTAATGTGATTACGTTCATAGTCAGAAGAAGCATAAGCAGGAAGTAATTAAAGAGTGTGGAAGAAATAATATATGATGAATACACTTTCACACTTTCATCCAACTCACAGTTTTATTCTGTTTTACGACATAACAGGAAAATGTAATGTGACAATCCTACGGCTGAAAAATAATAACAATACTGTTTTATCATCTGTGTTTTAGAAGATGGTTTGAGCTGTTGTGGCTGAAAATTTCATTTCAGCTCGGACTAAACGATATTTAAAAAAAATCATATTATATTGGCAGATATTGTGATAATTTCAGATAGAATAGTCGTAATGGTCATTTTGGATTTTCACTGAAAAGAATATAAAAATGATGATGATGTGATTTTTGCTGGGGTCTGTATCAAACAAACGTGGAGAATACGATTTATTTGGCATCTGTGCAACACCACAGTGCAGATGTGTCAGTCGGTCCCATTTCCTTCATTCTGAACAAAGAAACAGCAACAATGCACAGTGGTGGGAATGAAGAGGTTTGATGCAGCAGGAAACATGCAAATGACTGAGTGAGCAAACAGGAGGTAGTGATGCACTTATCAGAATAATCCAGGCTTTGTGTTCACTGTCAGTGACATAAATATCACAGGAGGGAGTGACATCACAGATGTAATTCACAGCCAGGTGTGGATATGAACCAGATACAGCACATGTCCTGAACACATGTCAGGTAATGCCAAAAAACTTTGACTGTTGGAGCATCTCTGCCAATAACTCATTGTTTTCTGCCTCACACACACACACACACACACACACACACACAGACACACACACACACACACACACACACACAGACAGACACACACACACACACACACACACACCCTGGCTGTGTGTGTTTAATCAAAGCCAGGCGGTTTGCCCTCCGGCCCAGAGTGTACCAATCTAAAAGTTGTCCTCCCTCCTGCTCACATAGCTGTGCTCTTACACCAACCTCTCCCCCCACCCTCCGAGGCCACAGCACACCTCTTATTACCTTCCCTCACCTCGACACACACTTTTGTATTTGTGAATTCCCTTTAAGCAAGAATCCTGCAGTGATGGGGAACAACTTGGTTGATCATCACTCCTCTTTTTGACTGTATCAGTAGTTCAGGTTTGTGTCTTGACGTCAGCGCTCTGCAGCAGACACTTTCACTCTTGTTAATCCTGATTCTCTGACACTGACGCTGGAATCTTTGGCAGAAATCAGGAACAGCAGTCGAGTTTAGGAAATGATTGGACTGGAGGGACTAGGCCAGCATGTCGCCTGATGTCTGGTCAGGTTCACTGACAGAAGTCCAGTTAATGAATTATTTATTATTTCTCAGCAGTTTTCTTAAAGGTCAGGATTAAAGATTATTTTCCCAATAAGGAAGAGAACATACAACCTGAATAGTGAAATTATCCCTCACACTGTCAACTGTAAATATGATTCTCGTTATTGATTAATCTGCTGATTATTTTCTCAATTCATTTTGTCCAGAAAATGTCAGAAAATAGTGAACATGCCTGATAAAACTTCCAGCCTTCAAGGTTACAATCATTATTATCATTATCATTAGTATTCTCTCTCTCTCTGGCCCTGTACAAACTTGTCATGAAGCACACAAAAATTTACAAAAGATGTACACTACATCAATCAAGCTAGACCATCATGCATTGCGGCCTGTCTCGTGATAGTGTTGCAGAAAAAGAAACAATCTGTCACAACAGGCTAGCTGCTAATGTTAGCTGCTAGCTAATATGATTTTATTACCCTGACGGCTCAGCTGTGCAGTGAGTCACCTCCTGCTCTGCCTGAACAGCAGGATTTCAAACATTATTATGAAAACGCATGTCGGGACCATGTTTTAAAAAAGAATACAACCTGACAAAACTGTAAGAACTGACACAAACAGAGTAAAGATTGCTCTGTGGACACAAACTAAAATGTAAATAATACATGAAAGATAAAAATTGCACGTCTTGTAAGATAGAAAGTATTGTAATGTATTTTGCCTCATATATGATTTAGATGCTCTGGTGTTTGTTAATGCAACAGAGGTAATAATTACAAATATCTGGCACATAATTATGAAGCAATTTGACATCCAAGTGGAGTCTGAAATGTGTCAACTGCTGTCTGCACTTTTCCTCTACTGAGTCTTTTCTCTAGCAAACACTATACACAGGGCGTGTGAACAGGTGGCCTATCTCTGTCTCTCTCTCGCTCACAGGGAATGTTGTGTCTCGGTGTAGACCGGCCCTGTTTGAAAAGTGCCCCGAGATAACTACTGTTTTGATTTGGCAACATAAATATAACATTAACTTTGACTCCAGTTGCAACATCCTTCACCGTTCATAAACCCAGTACCCGATTCAACTTTGTGGTGCACACAGTTGAGGATCATTAGCAACATCTCAGGTGGGCTGACGTTCAGCTTCACCTCCTGATTAAGTGTTTTTTCTGTGTCTCATTCCTTGAATCTCTCAGCTGACCGGTACTACTGTCAGTGTGTCTACCGGCACTAATAAAAACGGCTTCTCTATCGATTGTAAAGCAGAGCAGGGGAAAGATATTTCTGAAACACACATTAAAAAGTGGTAAACCACAACAACCAGCGACTTCACACTGTGGGAAGCTGTTAAATGAGGGACGTCCCGGCCGGTGACCAGGACAGGAAAGGCTAATGTTGTCAGCTGAAAGGAAGATTACTGGCGTTCAGCCCCATGTTACCAAAGGCCAGTGTCCCCTTTAAGCCAGTGACGGTGAGTCGTGTGGCACAGAGGAGCCTGCAGGTTTTAATTCCCTCTAATCACTGCAGCAGCTTCACTGACTGCTCCTCCTCTCAGGTTAAAGGTGGATGAATCAGTGAAATTAGCTGTCATATGGTGTGACTGGGTTAAAAACCTGCACCTTCTTCTGTTTTACTGAAAAAGCTGAGAGAACAAGGTAGGAGGGTCCTGACACTAATAAGCTATCAAGGAAGCTGAGCTTACCTGGGAAGGAAGAGGTCCCTTCTTTGACTCGTTAGGGTAAAAAGGAGAGGTTTTGGAAAGGGGGGTCGTCACGCTGCACACGTGACTTGGTCCATCCGCACCTCCAGCTGGAGGGCATCCGGTCGGTCCTGAGGGTTGACTGCGAGCATGTCCTGGAGGAGTTTCTTCACCCCCTCAGACATGGAGCTCCTGGCCTTCTGAGGGATGTGGAGAACCATCTTGGGGTTCTCCAGCAGAGCCTCCCCAACAGGTACGATCTCTGTGCCCTGCCGTATGTAGGTGCCCAGCAATTCACGCTTGGACTCTGCGTCGATGAAAGTGATCCGTTCGATCATCGCCCAGATGATGATGCCCAGGGCGAAGATGTCAGCCTTGGCCGTGTAGTGACCCTCCCACACCTCGGGGGCCATGTAGAAGTCTGAGCCACAAGCTGACGACAACCAGAACTTGTTGATGTTAACGATGTTGTTCTGATTGCTGCCTCTGCCGCCCGCCCCCGCTGCAGGGTGTTCTTCACTGTTCTTGGAGTTCAGGCCTGCACAAACTTTACTGAGGCCAAAGTCAGCAACTTTGAGAACAGGAGAACCAGATTTCTGAGAGATGAGGATGTTGTCTGGCTTCAGATCACGATGAACAATGTTGTTCTTGTGCAGGAAAGCCACCGCACTCGTCAACTGCCGCATAAAGCTCTTGTTGGTCTGGGGGTCGGGCCGGCGAGACAGGATGTACTGGTTGAGGTCCCCACCCTCGCAAAACTCCATGACGAACCAGAGGTAGCACGGCTCCTCTGGGTAACCCAGGATACGCTCCCCTGCAGCAGATTGGAGAGGGAAAGATATGACCTGATTAGTGACATAACTGAATTCAATCTTTGGCATTTAAGGCCAGTTCAGAGCTGGTATCAACATCCATATGAGATGTGCTCCGATCACAAGTGCAGATTTCTAAGTACACCCCCACCCCCTCTTTCTCCCCTCAACCCCACCGGATGAGGTGGTCTGGGCCAAATGTGACCACATCGTTTTAGCAGTGAACACAAATGCGTCCTGGACCACACTGAAGGACCGCCTACTCTACTGACGTCCTCTGCCACAGTCTGATTAGTCCCGCCACAGTTTCAAACAACTAAAACTACGGCTGAACGACATGCAAAAAAAATCATATTGCGATTATTTTGGCAGATATTGCAATTATGATATGAATCACAATTTCAGTTGGAACAGTAATATTTGCATTTCATTTAGACTGAAAAAATATAAAAATGATGATGATGTGATATTTGTTGGTGCCTGTACCAAACATGTTTGTTCCTTTTTACGTCAAGAGAATATGATTTGGCACGGCGTCTCTGTCACACCACAAAGCTTCGTTTACGGTCTGTTGTGACACATTTTATCATTAGCCTGTGATTTGGATATTGACCTTGGCCATATTGTGATTTTGATAATATTTTTATCAATTGTTCACCCCTAACTAAAACCTTATTTCACTGTAGAGCTGTGAGCAGAGCAATGACTTGCTCAACTCCTCCGTACCCCAGTCTCTCTCTCTCTCACACAAACAAACAAACAAACAAACAAACAACAACAGACCCGTTTGTCACAGTCGAACTGGCTAGAAACAAGTGTTCATCTCCATATAGAGCGAAGAGGTGAGATCTCATCACAAGTGGATTGCTGGGCACCAACATTGTACCTGTCGCATGTGGAGACGTATTCTAATGCCAGGTGTAAGCTGCCACTTGTGATCGGATCACTGCAGACGGATGTTAATGCACGTCAGAACAGGTCTGAACAGGACTCACTCCATTCTTCAAAACCATTACACTGACTCATACACAAGTGAAGTATGCATAAATACAGCACTGCTTTCACAGCCACTTCAGCACAGTATTTGACATGTTAATCACTCTCGGTCTGAGCGATGAGATGCTGTGGCTCATGACCACGTGCTCTTTATAAGTTGATGACTTGTCAGAGACAGAAGTCCTCCACAGGGTTTGCACAGGTACTCTGTCTGTTCTTCAGAGGAAGTGACACCATTCTCTGCGGTTCGTAGCTGCACGTGACAGACAGTATCACGGAGAAACACTCTGCTGTGTCACTGCCACTTCAAAGAGCCTCTCGTGTGAGGCTTCAGACCTCAAACTTTCTTTCTACGTTTCATCAGCAGCAGAGGGGCTTCGTCGCTCTCAGCTGGTCGAGACAGCTCAAGGCTCATGTTTGTTTTAAGTAAACAAACGTTTTCTTAAGGATCCAAACAATTGTGACCAAGATGTGTTATGAGCTTGTCAGTGCTCCGTTTGCATTTGCTTGTTTTTAAATGTCTTTTATCACTGCAATCTTGATATGAGTTATCTAAATATTTGTATTTATTCAAATTTGTTTGTTTTTGAATGGTATTTTAATGTCATTAATGTATTTCCATGCCTCAGTAAAGCACTTTGTGTGAATGGCACTGTATAAATAAACTTGTTTTGCCTGATGATCATTTAATGAAGTCCACTACCTGATCTCATGGTTGTCTTTAAACTTTAAAAACTAAGACAAAAGCTAAGTGGGCCTAAAGAAAAACAAGTCATTTCCACTGTTTTCCAAATCCTACAAACATTAGCACTTGGTGGCTGCAGAAGATGTCAGCTCAAGATTAATATTTCATTTCAAAAGCCTGAATGGTTACACTTACGTAACAGCCAGGCTATTAAAAGAAAAGAAGCTAACACTGAACACTGATTCAGTTGTAACAATGGATTTGTTTGGACTGGTTGCATTTTTAACAGAATAGGTTAATATTGCTATTTTAATTCTAAATTTCACTTGGATGAAGATATATTTAACAGTTTCTGTCTATTTCTCTGAGGACTACAGAGCAATAACAAAGGAGGTGATAAGTAGGTCAAACTGGATTCATGACAACAATGATACATACAGAAGTGAATTAAAATGGAGCTGTCATAAGATGTAAAAGCTGCCGTTTTTCATTAGAATATTAAATATTACACCATTACATCATTGTTTAGGTTGTGAGATTACAGTCAACAAGCAATGGGTTAACATGTTTCCAAGTAGTACACTGTGTTCTCTCATGAGCTCAGGGCAACACAGTGTACTCTCTGTGCCTACTATAGGTAACCTATAGGGATGTCACTGACTGACAGAGAAAACATAACTGTTACTTTTAATTCACAAAATCCTATTTGAGAGAATGAGCCCTAAATTATGCATACACTTTATAGTGTGTTTATGTTATTACATAAACATTATAACATATATATATTCTCGATATTATTTAGCAAGTTAAGTACAGATACAGTAACCGCAACTCAGTCAAATCTTGATGTAAATAATCTTTACATTATGTAAATGTAAATGACTGTAATAAGAAAAGTTTTATTTATTTTTTATTAATTTAATTAGTAACCCTGAGCCACAATTATGTTTACATTTGCCACCATCAGGTACAGACTCAAAGTGCAAGTTTGCATGCGTTGAATAGATCTTTAACCAATTTGTAGTTGAATTTAATGTGATTTTATTAAAACATGAGCCAACTGAGCTTTTAATTTAAAAAAAAATAAAAATAAAAAAGGCTCCTAGAGTTTGGATTTGAGGCTTAAGCTGGAAAAATCCCTATCACCCTGTAAACTACCTATTAAGACTGATTTTTATAGACGTGCTCCAGGACTGAGGACTCACAGGAGTTTGTGCAGCTCCCTTTTGTGCATGTATTGTTCAATTATTACAAGTATTGGCCTTATTGTGCAGCTAACCACTTAGCAAAACACGAGAGTAGGCTGTGTACCTTTGAGTGACGTCTCCACCAGCCGCAGGTACTGTTTGGACCTCTTGTTTCCGTGACTCATCTTCTGGGCCAGGCCGTTCCTCTGCAGAACACACTCCTCCAGCTGGACCACGTTCTGGTGTCGGTTCTCCAGGCTCGTCAGGGCCCAGAACTCGGCCAGAGCCAGCTCCACGTTTTCCGGGGCGTCGCACTGGAGCCTCTTCACTGCCACCCTGGCCCCCGTTTTCCTGGCAATAGCCTCGTACACCACCCCGTAGCTTCCCCGGCCGACCTCCCGGAGCAGACTGTAGCGGGGCGACACCACCATGGCGGGCTCCAGGCGGTCATTTCGGAGGAAGCTAATGGAAAAGCAGTCGTCGTCCTCTTCCTCCTCCATTGGCTCAGTGTGATTGTTGTCCTCCACCGTGAGGGAGCGGAGGACTTTGCAAGCCTCCCGCTTCATCTTCCCGGCCGCACTCCGCCTGCAGCCTCGCACACCGCCGCTTACCTTTCTCCTCTTCTTCCCGTTGCAAATATCCATAACTTCTTTTTTGTTGAAAGTAAGCATGAAGGGAGGACGTGTTTCTCTTTCATTACTTTAGCTCTAAACTAATAAAGTTTGACGTCCTGACGTCTACCTGCTTGTTGTTCGGAGAGGTTAAACGCCAGTCTGTCAGTAGTTTATATCTTTGTGCTGTTAGTGAAGAGAGAACCGGTGAAGTGCCACGGGCCGTTCAGCTGCACGAACTAATTTGGCTTCATAAACAAAATGTTCCAGCTCGCTAGTACAGGCAGGGAACAGTGGGCGTGGTTTACCCTGAAGCTCGCTGTGATTGGCGGAGAGACAAAACATCTCGCGAACATCCCGCGATGGTGAAAGAGGTGGAGAATGTAGCGAGCACGCTACGTTTGTTTTTATTTTGAAATAGTAAACTAGCCGTGATATGGTTATACCTTTACCGATTTTAAAGAGTTTACTGAACTAACAGAGAGTAATCCGGTACCGGATCTTTCCTCGGTCCGTGCTGAGCCGTTCCGTGGCAGCATGGACTAACGGGAGAGGCGGGGTCACATGTACACAGGCATGGGCAGAGCCACCAGTTCCCCACTGCATCATGCACCAGTAACCAACATGGAAAGACTCACCCGGGATTTTACGAATACTGGTCATTCTAATTGACTCCAGGAAATGTTGACAATAAGAATTAAGTTTGCAAAAATGATTTAATTGCCTTTTTATTTTTTAAATTTCGTTATTACGTTAAATGTTGAATTGTATTTCGATTTTAACTTTGTTAAAAAAAAAAATTAATTCTAATTTAAAATTTTTGGCGCTATACAAATAAAGTTGAATTGATTTATTTTGGTGATTTTTTATATATATATATATATATATATATATATATATATAAATGTCAAAACAGAAGGTGGAGTCTAGAATTACACCAAGATTTTTGACCCGAGCAACTACTGCCTGCAGTGGAAGAAGATGTGCAGGTACCTGCTGGTACCTTGGTACCCAGGTTTGAATGTTTGTCCCTATGTGAATGTGAACAGGGTACACTGTTCTCAGCAAAACATTTTTTTAACAAATAAAGGTTAAGCAAAGTAATAACAAAATTCTGTAATAGTAGAGCAATATTAATCTATGACATTACATCATTGATTATGGATTTATTAAGTCATTATATAGTAACCTTAGCAACTGTGACTGGATCAAAAGAAGGTGACACTGTATAAAGAGCAACAAAGTCCATAATAGGAGGAGGTTGGGGTGGATGAAAACAGGTAGTCATTATTGTTTCTTTTAATCATGACCATTGCACCTAAACCTAAACAAACTGCCACCGTTCCATAAGCGCAACCATGTTTTTCTTTTATTGTAACCATGAATAAGCTGCCACAGGGAACTACTTCAGGAGACATTTCTATGGATTGTACAGGGACAAAAAACTTATATGGTAGCTGAGGTTGGAGGACAAGTTGATGTAAACACACCAGATTTCAAGTTCACATCAGCTGCATTGCAGAGCATTGAGTCACCTGTAGGACATGTCACACAAAAAGAAAACGTATTGAAGGTGCACTGGTCAGTGTGCTAATGTAATAATATTGGTGGTTTTCTGAAGAGCTTATATGCATAAATCTGGAAAAGACACTGCCAGTTGTTTGTTAAACTATTCATTACAACCATCTGGGCCTGACATTGTTAGAACTGACCATCAGAGTGATCTGTCATCCTGACAGCCGTTTGGTTTTGGTAACACAGCTAAAAACCCAGTACTGTCAGATAAAAACAAGTCCTGCTTTTGTATTATGCCATACCATTGTAGCATTCATTACCCTGCATACCAGACTGGCTGAATTTAGAGAGCAGACTGTCTATTGTCACAGCTCAGTGGCCAGTAAAGCTTTATTGGTGGCTCTAATCAAAAGGGGAATTTACTGAAGCTTAGGCCACTGCACTGCAATCAGCGGGAATCTAACTGAGGACACAGCACCATACACTCTTCACGTGTTTATGTCTCAGGACCTAGACTACACACAAGACAAAATAATGAAGACTTTAAAACTATCCAGGGTCCCTCTAAGACAGGATTTTAAAGATTATGCGCAGGTGTCAACTTAGTGCTTTTCATTAATGTACTGCACAAAGTATTACCAAAGAAATTTACAGTTAACCAAGGTACCACAAACACCACATAACAAACATGAACCTGTTGGGACCCTCCGAAGATCTGTGGCATCACAGGGCAGTCCCTGACTTCAATTGTTTAGTAATCCAACATTGCCACCGTCCTATCAAACCAGAACTTCGACTTCTTGTAGCTATAAAATATACATATGCAAAATTCAATGGATAGACTACCTTCAATCCTGCTACACATTCATCTTACTAACTAATTTCAAATGTATATGAGTATTATCAGCAAAATGTTTTAAAACCTGAAGTACAAAACTTTTGTCTCCTTCTTCTGGCAGTGAGAGTAATAACACAAACACTGTCGATGCGTGGCATGATACGGGAGGCGCCACAACTTGAATGTGAAAAAAATGTTTCCATTTCACTTTTTTGAAATATTACTTTGCCTAGAGTTTTTTTCAAAATACATCTATTAGTTGTTTTTTTAAGTTTAAGGTTAATCGTCCCACACTGCTAGTTTAATGTCTCTGTGACTGATGTAACATTATTGGTTCGTCAGTTAGCTTATATACAGTTTGGTAGTTTGGTTCAGTGATTCCAAAGATAGGGGTCAGGCTAGATAAATCTGATGGATCATCAGATGATTAATGCAAGAGGAAAGAAGAAAAAAAATCTTCTACACACATTTGTATTAATTTTTGTTATCTTCCCTTTTTGTGAAATATTGGATAATTCTTTTGTCTTTTGGCCTCATACATTTATTGGAATGAAACCAACTGAGAAATTTAGAGGAGAAAGGTCTCTGCTAACAACTCAAGGACACATCTGAAATGTGACAAGGGCCCTCAACCATTGGTAATCTTTTACCATGTATTGTATATTACAAACAAAAGATAAGCTTTTATATAAAAATTTTTGAATAAAATTTTTGTAGTTTTGTACTTGTAGCCTTGTAGGAGAAGGGTTTAATAATGGGGATCCCACTGCTGCTTAGCCTTGGTTTTCTTTCATGAGGAGGTGCTGGAACACTCCACAGCTCCCTACACTATGGCCTTTATTTGAGACGACAAATCAGGGCCACACACAATAGTGAAAGAGGAAATATCGAGAGGAGACCGAAAGAGAGTCAAGGACATGTAAGTCCGCCTTTGAAAAGATGGAGGAAGTCAATTAATGAACTGTTTCAGCTAATGAGCCAAAAACTATAAGAGGAGGCAGAAAAGGGGAGAGGAGAGGCTGAGGAGAGATTGTTTTCCTCTTTCACACCTTATAATCAGTTTGTCATGTCATAGTCATGTCAATATTTTTTTTTTTAAATGATTCGCACAGCATTGGATGTTGAGCCAACAAAACATATAGCAATGATTTGTTTATGATATTTAAAGCAGGATCAAATGTGATAAAAGTGTTCTTGCATATGTGCAGACATTTGAGGGCGGAGGCCTGAGAAAATTGGTTAAACAACCAGGCAAATATGTGAGACTGAAGATGTGGTGCAGAAACTTTAAGGCCATCCAACAAGAGACTCAAGATTTGTCACCTAGTTCTAGGGGGAAATACAGCTGCATGACATCAGTGTAAAAATGGTAAGGGATATAATGTTGTTGAAAACAGAGCCCAGTGGAAGTTTATATAATGCAAATAAAAATGGGCCTAAACTGGAGCCTTGGGGTACACCACAAGAGATAGAAGCAGGAGTGAGAAGCAAAAGTGACAAAAAGTGAGAGTAACAATTTCGTCAATTTGAGGGGATGGGGGTGGGCAAAATAAACCTCAAACCTTGTAGGTACACAGAGCAACACTGCCAGCCACAAGCGAACAAACAACATAAACAAATAAAAAAATGTTAACAATGCTAAGCATTCTGATACGTCTGCTAGTCTCTGATTCTGGTCACAACAGACTCCTAATCTGAGTCTGGTTTTACTGAGGCTCAAACATGTGCCTGAGTCTCTCTGAAGTTTCCTCCTCTGACCATCTTGATAGTCTCTGCTCTTTCACAAGCCAACCTAGAGCAGGCAGCAGGGTGGGTGGGGCACAACGCCTGATCCAGATTTCTCAATGAGAAAGTAAGCATAGATGTGCGTCCAGCCTCAGTTTTCCAATTTCTTCACTTTTTATGTGGGAAAACCATGTTAAACAAAATATTAATCATAGCAGAGAAATTTTACAGCATTTAAAACATGGTGGAAAACTTAAAAAGTCTCTCCAAAGGTTGTTCTCTTATGCCAAATTTCAGGTGAGGAGAGAGTTGATAAACATGTTAATAAGTTCATCTGAGGTGCCTCTAGTTGCCTCTGTGTGCTCAGAGCAATAAACTTAACAAGCAGTGATCAGTAGTGATGAGAACTGACAACATTTTTTCCCTGAGTTTCGACACCCAGGCTACACACAGGCTTCATACCTTACTGGTGGAGATCGTTGGGGCTGTATGAAGCCTGAAAGGAATACCTACAGACATTGCTCCAGAATGAAAAAGGCGACTGTCAACTATATTTTTCATATCTAAGAAAAATCTGTTTAAAATAAGACAGTGAAGGACAGTGATGTATGATGTGAAGAATGCAACCATGTCAGGGTACAGATCATCCACAGGATGAACAGAGTTGGACCTGAGGACCAGTTCAGCCTTGACCTCCTCACTCTGCTCTGACATATTCAGTAATGATATGCAAACCTCTGGAGGCAGACTAATATACTGTATCATCTACTGTATAGGCAGCTTGCAGTTTCCTCTCTAGCTCACTTTAATTTACTTATGTGGTAAAACTAAAACTAAAGTCCAATACTGACAAATTAGGTTTGTACAAGGTTCAGAACTGTCATTTGTCCTGTTGATTGGTTACTGACTGTCAAGATGGCAGGGTTTATCTGATATGAGCTGGTTAGAGGCTACAGGGAGGAAATGAGAAATCACTGGTTCCGTTATAGGAAACAGTGATTTGAGATCTGTGTTGTCACATAATGTTGGTGTAATAATTCAGAAAAAATGTTTTTAAAAGACAAGAAGTGGTTTGTACATTCTCTGTGAGACATTCAGCTGTTGTTTCCATTGATTTTTGTTATTTCTAAAGGGCAGGGAGAGACA